GGGGGGTGAGATCCATATATGCCACCTTGACCACACTAGTGGAAAGACAAGATATAAAGGTAAATAAATAAGTAGAATAAATGATATAGCAAGAATTCTGCTACGGTATATAATTCAGCTCAGGGGTGCAACAGAATTGCCAAAGGCTGAACAGAAGGAGGCAAAACCAAGATTGGCGGGTCAGAAACAAATTTAGTTGCCTCTGTGCATGGCTTCTTTTGGCTCACTTTAGCCTACTGGTCAATTCGCTCATTTTGTGTGGACTGCTGCCCCTGACATTACCCAAACACACACATACAGGAGGAAAGGAGGGAATGAAGGCATCTAGCATCCCCTCCAGGCCTCCGGTCCCTTCCAGCACTACCTGCATGTTGTGGATTCAACTCTTTTTCTGTCTGCAGTCGGAACATGTTGAGCTTCAGACTCTGCACGACACTTTCTAGACGGCACACCCGATTCACAAGAGTTTCACAGGTTCGCCACAGTGTGTCATTCACTCCGCCAAATGCCACTTTGGCACAGATGGGGCTGATGGACTCATGATCTCCAATCTTCTCCAAGAGTCTTGAAGGGGCAAGTTCCATACTGAAAGAAGCAAAGAGAAGCAAATGCCATTAGTTTGGAAACCATGTCTGCATTCTCTTGATATCTAGTGCATATCCATGGGCATGTATTCTGGGCTTCTTTTACTGAAAAGAACAGGTGTTTCTATGTGAGGATTTTGGAAGACAACCCTGCTTTTCAGTCTTCCCAGATAGATGCTTCAAACTTCACCTCTTCTTGTAAACTCTCAACATTTATTCATTTAGGTCCAATAAAGACAGTAGTAACAGTCTTAACCATCAACTTCTCTTTTCCTTTCAATGGGAAGAGGAAAGGATTCCCCACAACAGTACATTCTCCATTCGGTCCTTCTGCCCAATAGTTTCAGTGGTCTGCATCATTTTTGGAATGGATCCTGATGGCGGCAGCATTGACAACAGTGATCTAGGTTTTCTCTCCCATCACTCCACTTCTCCCCCAGTCAACCCGCCAACTCGAGACCGTGGGGAGAAATTCGGTCCACCCTGGGGTGGAGGTCTCCCACATTTCTCCACTCCATCTTCTTGTTCTGTTTGGGCTGCTAGCTCTCTCTCTTTCCTCCGTCTGTCTTGCCTTTCCCTCTCCCCCCAATAAGAGGGCTTCTTTGGGGCTCAAAACCATTGTCTCCTGGCACGTGGGTGGGAGGGTTCTTCCTCTCATCCCTGTCCTTCCACTCTAGCACAAACTTTTCCTTTCTCTTATAGGTAAACATCTTCCATTCAGCTCTATGAGGAAAAACAATGTACTTGGAGACATCAGTTTATCAAACTAAGAGTAGATGATCTGCCTGCACAAAAGAGGTAACCCATGAAGGAAGGAATAATATACACAGAGTCAAAATGGCCTCATTTCAAGGTAAAGTGCATGAACCCTAGAGTCATCAGCTTTCCTCTGTCCTCTTTTTCTAATATGGGTGTAAGGAAGAGATAACAGACTTCCATTTATAATCATGTCCAATTTACTTTTATGTCTGAAGAGGGACAATTTTGTGGTTTGTGTTAACTGTGGTTTATTGAAGCAAGAAGCATCAAACTGTAATTAACAATCCTGGCTTGTTTCAACAAAACCATAATTAACACTAGCCACAACTTGCCACAGTTTGAACATAATAACAAACAGAAAATGGAAGCACACACTTCTGTTCTGTTTCTTGTGGTCCAACTATGGTTTGGACTTACATGTGAAGGAGGCCACTTCAGATGTTCCTGAAAAAAAGCCAGTCTGTCTCCACTCACATGCTATTGGGCATTTGTTTCATCAGACAGATATTTATTTCACCAGGAAAAAAAGGCAACTGTGGCACTCAAATCCATGGATTTGCAATGACAGGACAGGGATGTAAAATCGAAAGGATGTCCCCCAGATTTCAGTAAGGGACTAAGTTCTTGCAGTCGGTGTTAACAGGACTGTGTTATCCGCCAAGAGCAAAAACAAAATCAGGCAAAATCAAAACAGGACTTCAACAGTCTATTCAGACAACTGTTTGCAAGGGTAGAAGCAGGTCTTTAGAAATTAATAACATCATATTTTCAACTGTTTGAAAAAAAAAAACAGCATGTGCCAACAAGTTCTGATCAGCACATGCAGCCCTGCAGCTAGTGTCTTAAAACAACCATGGCCTCATGCTGTGCATCTGCCGTAGTGGAACTTCGCAGGAGAAAAGGTGGCAGGCAGTGTTGGAAGTCTAGCATAAGCATAATAGTACCAATCTGTGCAATGCGGTTGGATTAAATCTACACCAATTCACCAGCTCTCACTGCATTATATCATTTTCTTAAAAGTAATGGTAGCAATGTAATTGCGTATGCTTTACAATCAAACCTTGTTTTTTTTCTTCTTTAAGTATTATTTAAAGTTTCATACAACATAAAAGCCAGACTCCTGTTAGCATTTCCATAAGGTTTGCGTAAATTGCCACAACTAATTGACAAAGATGTCAGGGCAGATCTTGGTGCCACAATCAGACACAGGACAAAGTATGCAACTGAGACATGCCCTGCCATGTCATCTGTTGGCCACAATCACATCTGGCAAGCAATACAAACCTGAGAAGAACACCAAGAGGAATCTGGCCAAAGTCTTTAATCTGATGACATTATCTCATGTATCATGTCCACAGGACAACCTAATTCCCTTAAAAAAAAGGTCACCATTTATTCACAGTTTTCATTAAGTTAGAATAAGATGACTTCATAACAACCTTGATACTGGCAATAGAGGCCAGATCAAAAACTCAGAGAGACTAAAGAATACAAAGCAAAGAAAATTTGAAATTAAAGCTGAAATCCGATGTACATCTTCCTCAGTATAAGTCGCAGTGGCCACAGCAGAACTTTTGACTAAACGTACATCAGATTAGACTGGAACTATACCTTTGTCCTTTCACATCCAGCGTCCGTAGATCCTGCAACAGGGAACTTGTCTGTTCTTCAACTACTCTCATCCTCTGATTCAGGACTTCAAAGGTTTCAGGAGCAGTTGGGTTGATACTGACAGGGGAAATGACTGGCCTTGCCATCACAGTTTGCTGCAAATAAAATTCTCATCAATAGCTAGCAGTTGCAATGGATCTTAAAACCTGTTGATCAGCCAGTGGGGGAGGGGGAGGGAGATTAAAAGCAGTTCAGTGAAAATACAGAGGGTCAGCAAGATAACCTTGTCTCTGATAGGACCTGGGGGAATATTTAGGCTATGAACATTGGCTTTGTATCATCTCAATTGTCATGGCTTCTCCTGAAACTCCAGCAAACAGCTGTTTGGTGAAGATGCTCTCTGTTCAAAATCCCCTGCTTTCCCCCTACAAAATTACAGTTTCTAGGACGCTTAGGGAGAGGAAGCATCTAATAAAACCATACTTAAGGAATACATATAGACCAGACTATGATGAATGGAAACCTTTCATAAGAGAGGGTAGTTTCCTTTGTTCTTTGGAAATGAATGGGACTAGCTTCTGAGTAAAGACACATAACTGTGAACTAGCATGAGATCTGAATGATTACTGTATCCAGAATCTTTGCAACATTTAAATTCATGAGGACTGCTAGAAGCTGTTGCACTTTTCTAATGAGTAATTCCCCTCCTTGTATTTCCATGCTCACAAACAGAAAAAGGCAAGATAGGTTACTGGCCCAAAAGCTAAGTAATCAACAAGCTGATTTGGCCATGCCTTATTTTACTTATTTTATTTATTTAGAATATTTATATGCTGCCTTTATCCCAAAGGAGCCAAGGCAGCTTACAGTATTAAAAGAAACCAGGTTAAAAACGGAATAATAAATTATTACAATATTTTAAAAGCGTTAAATAAATATATTAAAACTCATAATAAGGATATTAAAACACAGAATAAAATGTTCCCTTTATCTCTATGAGATGCTGAGCACAGCCATCCATATTTGTCTTTGCAAATCTAATTCAATGCACGTACACTGGAAACTGAACACCAATGAGATCAATGGGGCTAGCTTCTGAGTAAAGGCACGTAAGTGTGAACTGTAGATGCTAATACAATAACTATGCTTTCAAAAGCATACTGACGTGGGCAAAACGTTTGATTATTCTATTCTCGAAGGCTTTCATGGCCGGGATATGATGGTTGTTGTGGGCTTTTCGGGCTCTTTGGCCGTGTTCTGAAGGCTGTTCTTCCTAACATTTCGCCAGTCTCTGTGGCCGGCATCTTCAGAGGACAGAAGTAGGAACGGAGCAAACACAGAGTTCTAACACCTGTCCTCTGAAGATGCCGGCCACAGAGATTGGAGAAACATTAGCAAGAAAAACCTCAAGAATACGGCCAAAGAGCCCGAAAAACCCACAACAACCATTTGATTAGTCTACTCCACAATATGAGTCAACACTGAGAGCTTGCATGTCAAACAAATGACACACACATCTAGAAAACACCCCCAAAATTGCTCTTTAATTTTATATCATCTTCTGCTGTCTGTGTCTCCATAAGAAATGTTTTACTTGAACTTTTCTTCTGTTTATTTAGGTTAAAACATTAGCAACGATGGCTCTTCAGAACAACAGCACCAAACATTTCAGAGTTCTGAACTCAAGGCATCTCTTGCAGACCACAAAAACTGACTGTGTGCTACAGAAGGAAGGCTCAAAATTCCTGTTCTTTCTGCAGAAACATAGGGCTCACTCTCTGTGTTCTTTCTGCAAAGCTGCAAGACAGATCAGTAGTAGGGAGGCACACAAAAAAGCAAAAGCACATGCCATCCTTTGCATCTCTCCATAGCATAAAATCCAATTGAACTAAATGGGATACTTCAAAGCAAGCAATTCAGATCCAGATGCAAAATCACTGGTATCTTACAGCTACCTTTCATTTAAAGAAAGATGTTTGAAAGGCTGGGGCATGGAAGAAACTGAAAGGCGTGGAAAATGATCTCCCATGAAAGGAGTGAACAGAGGGAGCTCATCATCTGTCACGCCATTATCCACAGGTGACAGAGAAGAGCTTTTTGCTCCAGATTGTGAACAGTGGCAACTGGTACGAGGCTCCCTCGGCAAACCGTCCAACCTGCATTAGGATCACACACCCCTCCTTAAAAGACTCTGCTAACGAACAAAAGGAAGGACGGTAGCTGTCACTACATCATCATCACCTCATCATCTTGGAACGGCACAGCTGGGCATCTTGGGGCTTCTAAAACCTCTTTTCCAAAATTTACAGACGGCACCCCAGAACTGGCGTGAGAGGCATCATCCCAAAGAGGTAACTTTGGCGTCACTACATCATCATCATCATCTTGGAACGGCAGAGCTGGGCATCTTGGGGCTTCTAAAAACCTCTTTTCCAAAATTTGCAGACGGCACCCCAGAACTGGCGTCAGAGGCATCATCCCAAAGAGGTAACTTTGGTAAGCTCTGCCCTGCCTTCCCCGGCCATCATCCTGGGTGCTGCTGCACTGTCAGGACACGACCTTAAATCGGATTCGGACAGATGGGTTCTGTAGTCTTCTTCCCTCCACCCACCCACCTACCCATCATCCTCGGACGACCCTTCCCTCCCTTCTACACCCCCTCCCTCTCTGCCCTTCTTTCTCCTCTTTTTTCCTCTTGCACGCACACCCTCGCCAACCCTCGCCCGCCACCAGGCAGTTGAGCCGGTTTCTGCAACCCACCTCTTGCGCCAGCAACGCCGGGACGCCTTGGTGCCTCGGAAGCCCCGCCGCGGTTCCCAGGCGCCACCCGGGCTGGTTTCCATGGAGCGCCTTTCGCAGCTTCAAACGGACCCGCTTCCTCCGAGGGATCCCGGCGGCGCAGGCGCGGCCTCCCTCCTCCCCCCAATTCTTGAGGCATTGTGGGAGTCGTAGTTTCCGTCCGGTTGCCCCTCCCCCCGGTCTTTCTCTGAAGCGCCTTGCAGGAAGGCTAAGAATCCATATCACACACACACACACCCCTCCCGTTATACACAAGCATGCTGGGATAAAGAGTTTCGTTAAATAAATAAATAAAGAGTCAATAAATAGTTTCAGGGTCTTGGGTGATGGTGATCCAGCCTTAATTTCAGGCACCCAAGTATTCTCCTCATCCAAAGAAACAAAACTAAACTAAAAAAAGACCAAAAAAAAAAAAACTGGCGTCTTGTAGACTGTTATATTTTAATGTGAGCTTTCGTGGACAAAGTGAACGTGTCCAGGAAAGTTTACATTGGGGTTTTTTTTGTTTGTTTGTTTTATTTTCTTTATGATCCAACAAAGGTATCACCTATTCTTGCATTTGAATTAAAACATAATCTTCATTGAGTCTTTAAGGTGCCACATGTTCTTGTCTTGGTTTGGTTTTGTTCTGTTTCCGTGGATTTCGTCTGATAACGTTTGCGCAGACTTAACAGGGCTACCTCTTCTAAAACGTTTGCATGCTTTCGAACCGCTAGGTTGGCGGGAGCTGGGACAAGAGACGGGAGCTCACTCCGTCGCTTGGATTCGATCTTACGACTGCTTGGTCTTCTGACCCTGCAGCGCAGGCTTCTGCGGTTTAGCCCGCAGCGCCACCACGTCCAGCCTGGTGATCCAACCTTAATTTCAGGCTCCCAAGTATTCTCCTGATCCAAAGAAACAAAACTAAACTAAAAAAAGACCAAAAAAAAAAAGTGGCGTCTTGAAGACTGTTATATTTTAATGTGAGCTTTCGTGGACAAAGTGAACGTGTTCGGGAAAGTTTACATTGGGTTTTTGTTTGTTTGTTTGTTTTATTTTCTTTATGGTTCAACAAAGGTATTACCTATTCTTGCATTTGAATTAAAACATAATCTTCATTGAGTCTTTAAGGTGCCACATGTTCTTGTCTTGGTTTGGTTTTGTTCTGTTTCCGTGGATTTCGTCTGATAACGTTTGCGCAGACTTAACAGGGCTACCTCTTCTAAAACTGCAAGAATTCCCCTTTACTTTCACTTCGCTTGCCTTTGATTTATGCTTGATTATCTGAGGAAGGGCCAGAGGGGAACGGCCCTGTTCACCTTTAAAACAAGCAAACAAACTTAACAAAAACCCACCACTATCTGCGACTCAGTAAGAAAACAAAACAAAACCGGTTGTGTTTTTTGTTAACAATACTTCTCCCAGCATGTTTTCCATTTTACTGAAGGTCAGTTATACAGCAACTGTGTGCATATCTATTCAGAAGTGGGTTTGTGTGGGATTTACTCCAAAGCAAAGTGTGATCACACAGGCACATACCTTGCATTTTGGACTGCTTGTAGCACACAAGGTGTGGGGAATTGCACTCCAGCCTGACCCCGATGTGTGTCCAAACTGGATTTTTTTGGCTCAGCAGTAAGGTTACCGCAGTTGAAGACCAAGCTGGAGAGATTTCCCAACAGGGGGAAAGATCGCTTTAAGGAAGATTGCTCCTGGTAAAGAGACCCTTTCGGACACATGGGCACCTGCATAGAACTAGAGCATTACTTCTCAAGTGGTCAAATACCGTACATGTTTGAATATTAATGTAACATCTCCTGGCTTGTCCTTAAACTGAGGATCAGTTTTACCTCCAGGTTTTTAAAGGAGAAGAGTTAGTATGGCTTATTAACGCTGTGCTAACCGTAATGAATGAGAAGTATTTAGGATTTGCAACTGCTTGTTATAATGAGGAACTGGGATGCTCAACTCTAGAGAATCAGTTATTTTTTTCCAGCAAAGTTGGAATCTTATCATAGATATTATAGGTGAAAACAAAAGAAAAAAGTATTTTTTAAAAAAAGACAAAAACCTGGCAGCACCTGAAAGACTAGATTTTATATTTTTCAATGTGAGCTCTTGTGGACAAGTCCACTTCATTGGACATAAGAGAAGGAGATATAACATGGCGAATATGGCATCAAGGTATAGATATCAAAATACAGAAATCATGGTTGGTTGAGAAGTGAAGGGTGCCAGAACTGAAATCCTGTCTTTTGCCTGCCTTTAATTTAGTAACCAATCAACCAGAGACAGAGAGATCCAATAGATATTTATTTTCAGCTGAAAGCAAGCAAATAGACACAAACTGCACCTGCAGAAACATGCAGAGAAATGTGCTCCAGATACAAAAGTATACGTTTTTATAAGGCAAACATGAAATAAGGGGATTGAGAGAAAGAGGAGAAATGGGAGGAGGTTCTGCAGGTGTCCGGCTCTGGACAATAATTCATTCCTCCCAGCTCCGTGTCAAGCGCCTGGACTACTCCAAGGACAAATTTCCAATTAGAAACACTTTAATTGTAAAGTGAAAGACACTCAGACGGATGTCCCCTCCTCCCTTGTTCATTCTTGCCTGCCTAAGCAAAACCCTTCATATAAATGGTTTACACATTCATGTAGCAAAGCAAGTAGCAGAAGGCAAGATTGCTACAGTTAGGCTAAGATATATACAGTATAATATCTTTATAATATCTTATATATGATAGATATATTCAACTTATTCTATCCATCATGTTATGTATGCTTTTGTATATGCAGAGCTTTAATGAACAAATATAAACTTGTGCCACTGCAGAAGCATCTGTGCCTGTAGCAGGTGGCTGGCTAGCAGGCAGAAATTCAGAAGGCAGAGGCCAGTATCCTAGCCCTAGTAATAACTGAACTAGACATATGGACTTAATATTTGATTTCTAAAAATTGCCACCACAAACATCACTTTTTTGTTAAACTTTTAATAGGGGGACCTTATCCATCTTTCATCTGAGAAGCTGAATTACTTCTTGGTGGATTAAAGTGGAGGTGGGTACTGGGCAGCCTGAGGACCACAGTTTGCTTTGCCATAAAACAAGACACAGCCCTCCCCAAGCAAAGCCACGGGTGGACTACCTTGCCACATTGCTCTCCAGGAAAGGCACTCTGATCCTGAAAAGGTGATGGGACCTCTGTCTCTTCAGAACCTTTGATGCAGATCGGTATGTGTCACATACAGCACTGATGTTACCTGTCTGTCATGGGTTTGGAGGGAAAGTTCCATCCTATGGGGAGTGGAAGGCGGGACATCAGGGGGAGGAGCTGTACTGTATATATATTTGGAGCTTGTGTGGAGAGTTAGGAGTTGGAGTCTGTGTGTCAGACTGAGTACAACTGTGTGTCAGTTAGTACATACCTGATAGGTTCAGGTTTCTTTATAGGTAGCCAGAACTGATAGGTTCAGGGTCTGTGCGTTACCTTAAAGGGTTCAGTGGGAACCAAGCTGTTGTATGTGTGTGATTGGGGTTATGCCACGTTACATTATCCTATTTACCTGATTCTTTTATGTACCCTGTTTGTGGTTTCAATAAACCTTGTTCTTTTGTTTAGTAAAATCCATTCCTGGTCTGTGTGACTCCTTACAGGGAATGGTTGGTGGCAGCATAACTATAGGGTGGCATACTCCAGTAGGTCTGGGGTTGCCACAGTATGGAACATGCAGCCTCCAATTTTCTATCCCAAGGATGGGAAACCTTTCTTCTGTCATTTAGTCAGGTGTAAAATTTTGGGTTACTGCCCCTTCCAACTCCCCACCTTTTTTTTTTTTTTTTTTTTTGGACTCTTTTCTTTTTCTCTCAGGCTGCCCATGGGTGGAACAGATGGAACGTGGAAAGTTGCTTTTGGAAAGTTGCTTTTAAAAATTAATGAGTTGCCCCCAGCCGTTACAATCACAAGGCTGAAAGATTTAATTAGCTGTAACATTTAGAAGTAATGTTTTATTTTCCTGGTTCGCAGAACTAACAAAGTAATGTTTAAAAACGCCCTGAATGGCAGAAGCTCTTGGTCTGTTCTTCTTGCCTACCCTCTTTTCATCCTTACACTCACAACAGTGTGTGAGGTGACAGCACCTCCAACACGCAATACTCCTCCAGCACCTTTTAGTTAGGCCGCACCACTGAAATTCTAAAAGTAACTTTAAAATTCCAGTAATGCTGCAAAAGCATTAGAAGTATTTGTCATTATATTACAGATATAATTCGCTGCAGTTGTGCCTTAGGAAAAAATAATCTAAGTGCAAGCAAGAAATCATTTGTAATTAGTGACTTCCTAACTCTAAGGATAGCTTGCTCTCTGAGCTAATTTCTATCGGGGGGGCCCTTTTGAAATTAGCTAGGACTGCAAGTTGTCTATCCATTCTCCTCCTCTGGGCAGGGATGTAGTTTTTAAGATTATTTCCTCAGAACTCTTCTCTTGAATTAAATGTAGTTAGTCAGTGTATTTGTGAGTGGAACTGGGATATCTAGTGAAATTTAGCCAAAGTATAACTTCTTGTACTGTACTTTGAATAAGGAGAAAATGGTGATATGGAGGAAATGGAGCCCTTTGGTGTGTGACTTTATTGTCCACAAGATGGCAGGAGAGAGCAACCTGGAGTGGAAGGCGAGTCTGCTTTTTAAAATGGGTTGAGTATACAGTATTTTCACTTTGATATTATTTATATTATACAGCTGAAGGGTCATAGGGAGAGATGTAGGGAGAATGTTTGTAAAAAGTAATATTTTGAAGTCAGGAATGTTATTATCCTAAAAAACCAAGCCAGCATTGCAATTGGTATGCACAGAGCTACAGGCTTGCAGTCTTACTAATAACTAAACTCATCTCTTTATAGTGCATAGTTGTCTATTTACAAGAGGCAGAAATTATACACGCCACCTACTAGGTACCTGGAGCAATATACAATAAAATGTTACTACAACTTCTTAAGACACTGAGAACAAAGGAGAAAAATAAGACAAAACAATATCAAATTTGAGAGCTGCATTAAAATCAAAGAGCTAAATATATGTATACATATACATAAATGTTTATAGTTACACACATA